AGTGATATTGTTATATTTGCAGAATTATGGCATGAAATAATCAAAATATCTTCTAGTAATATTGTTATATTTGCAGAATTATGGCGTGAATTAATCAAAATGTCTTCTAGTGATATTGTTACATTTGCAGAATTATGGCATGTATTCATCAAAAAATCTTCTAGTGATATTGTTATATTTGCAGAACTATGGCATGAATTAATCAAAATGTCTTCTTGTAATATTGTTATATTTGTTGAGAAATGGTATGAGTTAATAAATTAATCAAAATGCTTTCTAGTGATATTGTTTGATATTGTTATATCTGTAGAGAAATGGTACGAGTTAATGAATTAATCAAAACATCTTCTTGTGATATTGTTATATCTGTTGAGAAATGGTATAAGTTAATGAATTAATCAAAATGTCTTCTAGTGATATTGTTATATTTGTTTAGAAATGGTATGAGTTAATGAAAAAATCAAAATATCTTCTAGTGATACTGTTTTATCTGTAGAGAAATGGTATGAGTTGATGAATTAATCAAATATCTTCTAGTGATATTGTTATATTTTGCAGAATTATGGCATGAATTAATCAAAAAATCTTCTAGTGATTTTGTTATATTTGCAGAATTATGGCATGAATTAATCAAAATGTCTTCTAGTGATCTTATTATATTGGTAAAGAAATGGTATGAGTTAATGAATTAATCAAAATATCTTCTAGTGATATTGTTATAATTGTTGAAAAATGGTATGAGTTAATTAAAAAATCAAAAGTGTTTCTAGTGATATTGTTAAATCAGTAGAGAAATGGTATGAGTTAATGAAGTAATCAAAATGTCTTCAGGTGATATTGTTATATTTACAAAGAAGTGGCATGAATTAATCAAAAATATCGTCTAGTGATATTGTTATATCTGTAGAGAAATGGTAAGAGTTAATGAATTGATCAAAATATCTTCTTGTGATATTGTTATATCTGTAGAGAAATGGTAAGAGTTAATGAATTAATCAAAATGTCTACTAATGATATTGTATATCTGTAGAGAAATGGCATGAGTTAATGAATTAATCAAAAATATCGTCTATTGATATTGTTTTATCTGTAGAGAATGGTAAGAGTTAATGAATTAATCAATATATCTTCTTGTGATATTGCTATATCTGCAGAGAAATGGTATGAGTTATTGAATTAATCAAAATATCATCTAGTGATATTGTTATATCTGTAGAGATATGGTATGAGTTAATGAAGTAATCAAAATATCTTCTTCTGATGTTGTTGCATCTGCAGAGAAATAACTGTAATTGTATATTACTGTAATTAATAAGTCATGGATGTATGATGCTCTGACGAATATAACTGTGATTGAATAAGTCATGGATGTATGATACTCAGTTTAATATTTACAAATCATGGATGCATGATACTCAGGCATACACAACCATGATTAGTAATTCACGGATGTATGATACTTAGACATATACAACCGTGATTAATAATTCATGAATATATGATTCTAAGGCAAATTCAAAATGTTTCTCAATTTATGGATGCATGACATTCAGGAATACACTACTCTGATTCACATTTCATGTATGTATGCATATACGACTGTAATTTACTGATAAATGTATGCAATTAATTCATAATATGCAATTTATTCACAATTCATCGATTTATTACACATATGAAGTTAATTTTTTTATGGATGTATGATTCAGACATATAATATTGCGATCCACTATTCACGGATGTATGATACTCAGGTATATACATCGTTAATAACAATTTATGGTTAGTATGATATTCAGACGAATACAAACATGATTAATAATTGATGAAAGTTTGATGCTCAAATATATATAACCCTGATAAAACAATTCAGGATATATATATATATATATGCATATATATGCAACCGTGATTTACAGTTCACGGCCGCATTGCACTCAGACATACACCGTGATTAACAACTCATCGATGTATGATGCTTAGATGACGCTTAGACATATACAATCGTGATTAACAATTCATGGACGTATGATAATACTCAGATATATGCAATGAGCTAACACTGCTGTTATTCAGTTAATCATAAGCAAATTTTACATGTAATGTGTGTTTACTGTAATTTTACATCAAAACTTTACATTAATTTTTCTCCAGTTTTACGACGTTATGCTTTCTCGAAGAATAAAGTATGAGACTTCAACTATCTATTGACAGTTGGGTATGGCTAATATATTGTTCAGTCGTGTGTGAACAGGTTTAGTGATTGCTTTCAACTGACCGCCACTTTGCTTTTGTGCTATGGCTTAGCTACAAATTAGTCCTCAATTCCGGACCAAATACACTGTTGAAATGATAATTTGTGTACACTGTTTTGCAAGAATTTTAACTTAAAGAACAAATAGAAACAAAAATAGAATATGTCGAATTTAGTTTAGAATTACTATTCGTTCAAAGTGAAATCAATTCATGCGGACCACATCTCTATGATATATTTCTTTAAGAGAGTCTAACAGATCAGTTTATCCTGTTGAAAAGATCCGTTAAACCAATTGATGCAAATGTCTTCCCATGAAAGTCAGACAATTAATTGTGATCATTGTACGATTCTGCTGCCTACTAAAAAAGGAAGTGTTTCAAAAATTGTGTTCAAAGCAATGGAATACCTGTTGATTAGACTGATCATTGCCAATTAGTGAAACGCCGATTGTTAAGTTAAAGCAATTCTTCTAAAAATATATGATGCAATATTTTAAGTGAATAATTCATTAAAATTTTATTCGATTTTATCAAAAAGAATACTTAGTTTATTTTTCTATGATTTTAAATATAGCTTAGCTTATTCAAACGCTATTAAGAAAGGAGATTATTCATCATTAATATAGAATTACGCAACAAAAAATCATTATTCTTTTTGTTAATCAGTTTTTCCTAATCGACCGGCAACAATTTACTGCTAAACAATATTTTGCTGTCACATTTGAAAGTTAAGAAATCAGAGAATCGAACATAAATCGAGAATTATCAAAATTAGAACATAAATTAAGAATGATCATTGCCTCAAAGTTTAGTTATCGTTTTTGCTTTTGCAAAAACTATTTTTATTCAAAAAATTCTCAAAAAATGAAAAGCTATTCACAAATTTCTCAGTTTCTAATCATCCTTTTCTGCTTTCCCATATATTTCTCGATTTTATAACACAGATTTTCGGTTCTACACTTTTCGCTAGTTTTCCATAGCAACAGGAAACAAACGATATTACAATTAAAAAGAGCTTTTCAAAGTTTTATTTCTTTATTGAAATTTAAAACCAATTTATTATTGCTAAAAATAATATTTCTTTTATTTCATTTAAACATGAAATTTGCCTTTGAATGAAACAAAACCTTTCGTTATTCATTCCAAAGTTTTGAAGAAATAATTTTATCGGCATTGTACATGGAATTAGGAATACTGATTTTTTTTTCTTTTGTGGGTACTTCATCCTTCCAAGGCTTTAGGGTTATTTGAATTATGTCATCATCTGGATTCCAACTGATACCTTTTTAAACTTATTTGTTTCCGTTTGATCTTGTTCGGGAATCTTAGAATTCAATTCTTTGTTTTCTAATATTCATTGAGGCATCGTTAAAGATGTTTTCATTTCTTGATATTTGTGTAAAGCTTCATCGATACACATGGTTAATACTATAATGTTGTCGACATAAAGATTTTTCCTAATTTCATTAGCGAGTTCATTATCGTAATTTTCCAAATGATCAGTGTAGCCAATAATAAAAATGGTAAAGGTAAAGATATTACTTCAAATGGGATTCGTTTAAATCGATAATGCTCAATATTATCTTCTGTTACTTGTCCCCTTATATCCTTTAACCAAAAGAATCGTGTACAGTGTCTTTCTTTTGGTAGTAACTCTAATTTTCTCAAAAAGGCTTTCTCAATGTCTTCTGTTATTACGATTTCCATCATTCGGAAACGAAGCAGTACTCCTATTAAATCGATCTTCGGTATAATACATCATTCAGACTTTTTTCTCCTTTTTGGTGTGAGGATCGTAACCTTGTTTGGAATTATAACTTCATGATGAGGTAGGTAATGAATAGTACCAACCTGGCACATCGCTGGACATATCTTCTCGATTATGCCAGATTATAACTGATCACAAATCGTTTCGTCATATTTGAGGAATAAACGTTCATCGTTCTAGAGTCGTTTATTTAAAGCTCTTAGGCGACCAAAACACAATCCGAAATTGTTGTTTAATTCGATTCTGGATTCTTTCCATGGCCAGGCAACTTGGTATCTGCCATTATATTTTTTAATATTTTATTTGAACTTTTCTAAAACTTGTTCGTCATCCTGTAGATTAGGTATTCTTGTATTCTTATGAATTCCAATTTCCAGAATCGATTAATCTCTGGAATGTCACTATTAATAGTTTTGTGGTGGTGGTTTGATCCTTATTCTGAAGGGAGTAACATGTGCTCTGTGTTACTATCTTGTTGATCACGCTGACGCTGATGCTGACGATTATTGTGCATGTTTCACGTATTCACTTCCAGCAATCATAGGGCCGACTATTGTGTTAATTGAAGAAAACCCTGAATTTATAGTTTGCGCTTTCTCTAAAGAGATAGACTTGAAGAAATAGCCAACTCCAATAATTAGATCAGCCGTTTTCAACTGCTAATTTCCTCTGTTAATGGGAACAGAGTCGAAATATCGGATGTAGTTTTCTTCTATCGTTTTTATTCCAATTACACTTTAGCAAAAAGCGATGTTTGAGAATTTCTATTGCCGAATCTCGCGAATGTCACTTGTTCATAATTAATATCTTCTAAATGTAATCTTTTTGCTAGTTTCTTCGTTATACGCATTGCTTTGAGCACCACTACCAAATAAAACTATAATTTTATTTGAAACCTCTGGCATATCTAAATTAATTTCTTCAACTTCTTTGCTAAAAAGCAAGACTTCTCTGTCTTTTCCTTTCGAATGCTTTATTATTGAATTAATTCCTTTGTCGTTTTTCGATCTTCTTCGATTGGCTCTACTGATTGTGCTTGATCGTTATGCTTAGTGCAGCATAATGTAGTATTATGGTGACCTTTGCAATAAAAACATACATGCTTTCTTGTTTTGCAATTGATTGTCGTATGTCCTGGTTGAAGACAATTTAGACAAGCGTTGTTTTCTTTCAGTCGTTGTATTCTTCGTTCTAGATTAGGATAAATTTGACATTCATTATCTCAGTGGTTCCTATTGCAAAAAGCATATGGTCTTTGAGTTTTGCTAATCTTTTTCTATGTATTTGCGGTGTTATTAACAGTTAGAGCCAAAGTTTATTCTGTAAAATATCGATGATTAGTTCATGGACCAATTTTATTTTTAGATTCTCTTTGCCAAAGAATTGGCTTCTTATAACTTCTCCGTTTCTTTGGATCAGTTTTGCTAAGAATTGTCTTAGCTTAGCTACTGACCATATTTTTTGTTCCTTTTGTTGATACACTCTGTTCAAAATACAGACAGGCAGTTTATTTTCAATGATAATTTTAATACTGGATTGTTCGAGATTTTCACCCATTGCTTCAAGTTGTCGAAGTACTCTTTCAGTAGCTTCAACTGTTATCTTCCATTGTCGATCATTCTTCTTGACGGAATATGACTCATTGTAGAGCGACTTTTTAATGATATGTGATTGCCCAAATTTTTCAATAAGGACTTTTCGTATCACATCGTAATTTTCTGAGGTTATATCATAACCTCTAACAGCCAATAAGGCATCTCCCTTTAGACATGCAATTAAATAATTTAATTTTTGGATGTTTGGTATTTTTTGTAAATGGACTGCAGCTTCAAAGCTGCTCCACAATCCTCTCCACTCATTTTAGGATTACCACTGAAGGTAGGCAGTGGTAGTTGAGGTAAGTTAACAGTTGGGTAAGGGGCTATTTGACTGGATTACTAACTCTGAGTCATTCATATACATACTTAAGGTTATGATGATTTCTTTGCCTTTACTTATTAAGTTCAAAATACCTCTTTTATCTTCGAACATTTTGACGTATTTGTCTTCCTCTTGTTTTCTATTCGTTGTTGGAAACCTGTATGTATTGGATCCAGTTAGTCTCAAATGTGTCAATATGCAACTTGAGACGCATTATTTTTTTTTTCAATGAATCTTGTTGACAGGTTTCTTCTCGGTTAACATTTGCTCCAAAAGCGTAAGATCCATTTCTTGGACTTCTTTGAGAAAAGCTTCCAATTTTTCTTCTGCCAGTCGTGCGCTGAGTACTACAGTTGCAGACATTTCTGGTTCGTGACACCAAAAATTTTGTCGTGGAAGATTTAATTGTTTAATTATTAATTTTGGGAGAGGTTTTTGATCGCAGGGAGGTTGATTAAATGTAGGTGTAAATGCATGGAGTAACAGAGAAATAAACCAATTTCTTTATTAGCAGAAGTAATAAGACAATAAGTTGATAGAGAACAATTGAAATTGAAATCGTCTGGTTCTTGGCAACAAATTGCACATATATTAAAATCTTTTAACAAGGGTGACCCTTATATAGCAATTATATCTTACATTACATATATTAAGATGTAGGAGTGGTTTATAATTAGACAATTTTGTACAAAAGATAAATTGTCTAGACATGACATTAAGTTAACTACAATGGATATTACAATGAATTGAAAGGATATAACAAAAGAAAGTACAGTGGGTTTTCTAGACATTATGATAAGTGGCTACTATAATGAGTTGCAATAGACATACATGATCGATGCTTATAATATATGAAATGATATTAGATCAAAAGTCATTACGATGAATTGTAAAAGGCATCAATGGATTACTATATTAAGCATTGTTAACATTTAATGTTAAAATTTGCGACAGTGTCATACAATTAGCATTATGTTTCAATTCATCACTAATTTGTTCAATTAATTCTCTTGTACTTATTTAAATTTTATCATCCTCTAAATCATCTTCAACATCTGCCGTTGGTACAAGCTTTTCTTTCGTTGTTGTTCATATTCGCTTGGCTTAAGTTGTAGAAATGATAATTCCAAATGGCTATCTATCTGTAACCATAAATAATAATGTTTTGCGTTTGCTTTCTTCAGAATTTTCAAATGCTTCTTCTTCTCCAAAAAAATTCTTTTGATGAAAACACCTATATTTGCAATTACTACATTTTCTACTAAAAATTTTTGTTATCTTTTTCTTTTTTTTGCGACCTATATTTCAAACTTGTAAGCCATATTTCAGCATAAATTTATAATTACGATAATAATAATAATAATATTATTGTATGCTTAAATGTACTTAAAACATTTCATTAATATTTGTTATAATTCAATCAATTAAGAAATGGTTTAACATTAATAGCACCAATAATAATAATAACAAATAAAAAACAACAACAAAAACATTAAATAAAATTAGTAGTTACATTCATTATGAAATTAAAAAAAAATTAATTCCCGGACTCTAGTGAAAATTATCTAATTGCTATGTGAAAATAGTCTTAATTAACTAACAACGACAACAGCAGCGAAATTACAAAGATCTTCGTGATATCGTGCAGCTGAGAAGACAGTTATAAGTTTACGATTCGCAAAAAATGCATAACCAAATTCGACAACCTGTCAGATAGCAATTAATTAATTAATGATTGTACAAATAGAAGTCTGATCTAAACATTTTCATCTACAGTATCTCATAATTATTTTAATCGCATTAAATAGTAGCTGAATTAATGCTTTAAAATTTCAATGAAGCAAAGAAAAATAGAGTGTAAAAAATCTCATTTGAAATAAAAATGCTATCACAATTTTGATGCAATCAAATTAGTCAAAGCATAATTGTTTTGAAAATATTCTTTATAAACTATTCGTTTATTTTAGGGAATAACAAATTTATCCTAAAATAACCAATAAACATTCTGAATATATGAAATTTATTAAGACAAAAAAAAATGAAAGAAAAGTAAAAGAAAGAAAAAAGAAAAAAATTTTTGCAAATAAAATTAAATATTAAGTTAATAATATCTGAACAACTATTAACAGTTTTTGAATCGATTGAATTTATTAATTAGTTAAATATTCCTACGTAATATGTAAGGATCTAATTAATTAACAATAATTAAAAATAAATAAATAAGAGACAGATGTATGTCTTCTTTTTCTCTATTATAAAATAATAGCATTAATTTCGATATTAATTCCTTCTAAAACAGAAAATTGAACAATAGTTTTTTTCTTTTTATTAAACAAAATTTACATGCTAAATAATTAATATGATTACTTGATGTGCTCGTATAACCATATCAATGCCAAGTTGTTTGATCTTTTCATGCACAGCATTTTCACCAAAAACCCATGAAACACCGCGAATTTGATTCCGTTGGAAACCTTTTGCACCGGTTTCCGGATCTGCCCAAAGTAAATCCTGCGCTAAACCCTTTACCATTCTTAGTGGCCTAAAAAAGTTATGCTAGAAATCGAATTAATTTTAATATTGAATTAAAAAAATTAATTTTAATTAATTGAATTAGTTATAAATTATTATATATATATATATTATCATTTATAATAGATTATCATTTAAATATTGGCAAATTTCAGATAATTTCAGAATTAATGAAAGAAAAAAAAAGGAAAAAGGATAATTAACAAAGCTTTAATTAACTGTAGTCAGTATATGAAGTAATACTGCCCAGTGATTTTTAAAACTTTTATTGATTTTTAGCATTCAAAAAAAAATTATTTTTGCTTGTAATTTGTATTTTTACGATAAATTTTAGAAAACCTTTTAATATTTCTAATATCATTCAAAGAATTCAATTCTGGTGATAAGCCACCATGCATGCATAGTATTTTGCCTGCAACAATTGCTGCTAGTGGCATTTCGGCAAAAACTTCATTGAAATGATTATATAAACCTTGTGCATCAGCTTGAATACGATAACGTGTCCTGATTTCTGCTGCGAAACCATATGTCCTAATTTTTAAATTCAATTTTTTTTTTAATTGAGATAATTCATGTTGTGTGTATGTGTGTGTACGCTTTTGTTGTATAACTAGAAAGAAAACATTTTTAATTTATTGTCAAGAAATTAAGAATTTCTTCGGAAAAGTTACTTATTGCAATAAATAAAGAAAGAGTGATCTAAAAAAAACAAAAATGAAGGTTTTCATTTATTTTTGTTGATTATTAATAATTTCTAATAAACAAGCAATTTTAATTAAAAAATAATAATAAATAAAATTAAAAGATACTTTCCATATAATTTATATTTCAAAAATAATTTTCTTATATAAATTATTTTAGTTTCGTTTGTTAAGAAGAAAACAAAACTTTTTTTTTAAAAAAACAAACTTATTAATATGAAATAATTCATGGTTGCCACGTAAGAGAAAAACAAATTTGGGGAATTGAATTTTGCATGCCAAAAGGAGCACTATTACTTCCAATGGATGTCTCCCACGATCAACATAGTCGCCCAAAAATAGATATCGTACTTTGAATGGTAAACCGCATGACTAAATTATGTATTTTTTTAAATATGTAAATTTTTATACAAATTAGTTTCAAAATAAATTAATATCAATTATTGGAATCAATTAAAATGTCATTAATAAGTCAATTTTAAAACAAATGTCAATATTATACTGATATTTGTTTTAAAATTCACATTAGCTTAACTGTCAAATTCCTAATCTACTCTGAAATGATGAAAAAATCTAAAATAATATTGCAATATTTATCCAAAAGTATAAACAAACAAGCGAAAAGATTTGATTGTAAAATTTTGAAATTTAAAATTTAAGCGAAACAAATATATAGACTATAACCTCTTTTTCTATAATATTGCTATTTAGTTGTAAATCCTTAGGATAGATCACAAATCATTAAATATTTCAATAATCCTAACAAACACTCAATACTTGGATTAGCATGTTACAGCAAAGAAAACAAAATTTACATTAAATTATTTTATAGCAAGAGAAAAAAATTATGGCACAATAATTTTTTCATTGTATTCAGATATTTTAACGTTTTTTTTTTTTTATAATATAAAATTTCTTTCTTTTTTGTATTGAAAAATTAAAATAATCTATTTCAATTTCAAAAAAATTATTAAATTTTGAAGTGAAAATTATTGTAAAATGTAAGCGAAAAAACAAATTTTAAATCAAACATATACATTTACATTAAATTAGATATTACAGCTAAATTTTATTTTTAATAATATATAATTCTTCATTTCTTTTTTGAAGAAATTAAAATGATAATTTATATTAATTTGAAAAATTATTAAGTTTTAAACGAAGAAAGCTACAAAATATTTAAAAAGAAAAAGAAAAAAAATCAAATTAACATACAGCAAAAATACGCATCAAATCACCGTACTGTCCATGAATATCACCGCAAATATTAACAGGGCATGGCACTTCAATTAATGTTGGAACTTTTTGAAATGATGCTTTTGCCATTGTTAATAACTGATGCAAATCTGGTAATTCATATTCCATTCGAGTCGAACCAGCCAATAGATGTTTCTTGATTAATTCTCGTAGTACTAGCTAAAATTTAGTGGAGAGAGAGAAAAAAAAGTATCATTAATTTAATAAAATGTGTAAAAATCTTTTTTTTTTTTGAGATTATTTAAAAAATATATAGATATACAGAAATGGTATTACCTTTTTTTCAGTGGACATTTCTTTGACAAGCGGTGGTTTATTCATTTCTTTCATTATTGGTGGTTTACCACTTTTCTTTCCTTTAATAATTTTCTAAAAAAAGTATCTAATTTATCAATGATATAATTTTCCTAAAATATATATCATAATGATTATGAAATCTAGTAATGCAATAGACTTATGATATTACATTTGAATATGCATAAATTTTTTTCTTTCATTCCAATTTTTTTAAGGTGAAAAATTGATTGATAAATAAAATTTAAGAAATTCCATATATCTATATGGTAACATACAAAAATCATTATTATTAAAAATTTAAATTATTAAGACTATTGAAATAAGAAAAAGTTTAAAAGATACAAAAAAGCAACGTTTACTTCAAAAAAAATTTAAAAAAGTAGCGAAGAGAAGTCATTTATCTATTATTATTGCAAATAAAAAAAATCAAAAACAAAAATTGAAAAAAATTAGGAAATAAACAAAAAGAAAATTTATTTCTTCTGATATATTCAAAATTATATAGATTTATATTAATATTTAACACTAACTCTTGATTCCTCCATTTCAGTCTTCTGAGTTGCTTCATTTTCATCC